GCAGCTCAATTTATAATCAACAAAATGTAGAAACAGTCTAAATGCCCACCAACCCAGGAATGTATTGACAAGCTGTGGTATATGTATACTATGGAATACTATTCAGCCACTAAAAATCATGGAGACTTTACATCTTTTGTATTAACCTGGATGGAAGTAGAACACATTCTTCTTAGTAAAGCATCACAAAAATGGAGAAGCAAGAATCCTATGTGCTCAATTCTGATATGAGGACAATTAATGACCTAGTACACAGTGGGGGGTGGGGGTGGGGAGAGCAGAGAAAGGTAAGGAGGGAGAGGGTGGGGGGTCATGGGGTGTGGTACACCTTTTGGGGACTGGACACAAGTATAAGAGGGTCTTTATCTAACAAATGTAATCAATACAACCTGGTTCTTTGTACCTCAATGAATCCCACCCCCACCCCCACCCCCACCCCCACACACAAAATGTTAATCAATCTACCTAAACTACTCAAGATAGGCATCTTTAGGGTGGGAACTAATTTATAAAACAGTAAGAATGGGAAACAGGAGGTGAAGGTCAGGCAGGACCTCAACTGACCACATCAGCTGTGTCATGTCTGCCCTAGCCCACCTGACTATATTATTCTCACTACATGTGCTTTCAGCTTGAAAGGCCTCCCTGGAAGGTGGACGGATTGCATATGAAGGTGGCAACAGGTCTTCTTTTTTCTGCCTATCTTTTCACAAGAGACAGTGGCTCATCCTCATTTGTTTTTATGGCTCTGTGTTAGTTGTTTGTCATTTAATTCTTGGTCTGACCACCCTAGAACCCACTGTTTAAAGCACCATTTATTTGGGTTTGTTGTTTTTGCTGTCTGTCTTCTGAGGTCTTATCTTGTTGCAGGAAGATGAGGCCCAAGAGAGAGAAAGAACACCCAGACACTGTGTTTAAAAGATGAAGGGCTTTATTCCAGCTGGTGGAGCAATGACAGACTAGAGTCTAAAATGGCCATGCTCCCCAACTGGCTCAGTCTTCTCATTTTTACCTCTAGTCAAAAGTTCCAGCCCACGGGTACCTTTTTCACTGGTCAGTTGAATCAAGCTGGAGAAGCAGGCTAGGGCTTTTACAGAAGCAGAAGCAAGCATTAGTTTCCAGGTCCCAGGAAGTTAAGTTTCTACTAATTCCTAAGAGCTGAGTCACCATGGGGAGGACCTTACAGGTGTGTACTTGGGACCTCTATTCTCTTAGACCTCACTTTTCCCAGGTATCCTCACTCAATTTGAGGGGAAAGGAGAAAGCACATCTGCCTTTAAGGACTATGGACTTCAGGCAAACACCTGGAGCTTTCCATTGGCCCTCCTACTCACTCCCTTGCAGTGATACAAGGTTCTCCCCATTCAGAGCTGGACAAGGGCCTCCATTTTCTAAGCCTAAGCAAACAGACTTTTTCTCTCTAAACTGTACTCTCTGAACACAAGCAAGACAGGAGAAAAGCAGTTTTTCCAGTAGCCCCTTCTGGAATGGACTTCCTACTACTTTTGCCTGGAGCTGGAAGGACTACATTCATTAGTTAATAATCTCATTCATTCACTAATCAACATGGAAGTCTGCCAAGTCCTGGCAGAATGTAATTCTCTAGATCTCCCTGTTTACAACAGTATATAACCCCTAGATAAAAGCCCCCCTCCCCTCACAGGGACTTCCTACTTGGGTCTCTCAAGGGTCTAGTGCCGTTCCTTCCTTCTATATTCCTTTTTATCTAATAAATCCTATCTTATTACTGATCTCTGTAGGTACATTCTTCGAATTTTGGAGATCAAGGACCTACTCCAGAAAGAAATTCCATCAACAGCCACTGGGGAAGAGCATGGTGAGTGCTGGCAATAGAGGAGACTGGCCTGGCAGAAGCACAGGGATACTCAAAAGAAGAGAGAAAATAGTGTCTATAGCATGATGGGGTGGCTGTGGTGACAATCTGGACAGACCAATTGCGTCAGTGGTGTGGGTCAAAAGATGCCCATGGCCTTCTCTAACCTGTCCCCTGCCTTCAGGGTTCTCCCTCTGCCCAGCACTGTGGCCAGCCCTGTTACCTTCCTGAGTACAGCTCTAATGAGAAAAGTGAAATCATAGAAAAGCTACACTGAAAAAAAAAAAGGCAAATCCTTTTTAATGTCTGTCTTTGAACAAAAGAAAGGGAAATCCTCAAGCAGCAGAAATGAAGAGAGAAATCATAGCCAAGCAGTGAGTGGAAGCTGGAAGCTGGAGCCTGTGGAAACTGCAGACTTAGGCTCCAGGGACCGGGATAGGGTGTGATACCTGTGAGGGAACAACACACGTGGCCTGAGGCTCGTTTGGAGGAGAAAAAATGTTCATCTGAGCTCAGCATAAAAGCAAGAGCATCAGAGAGGCTCCCCTTCCTTAAAAGGGGTTAGAAAATGCTCCCACCAACTCAGGGAAGTATGAGGAAGGAGGTTGCCTGTCTTGGGGCATGGATGCAAAAAAAAAAAAATCATTTCTCAGAAATGACATCTCCAGAGATGTGCATTGAATGGGTGCAGAGTTCAGATTTCTTTACCTCTGATGTCCAGGAGCCCCCAACAGACAATTAACATAGTATTTGGTCTAGAACAACTGAAATATCTGGGATCCTAGTGGATCCTAAACCACTCTGTAGAACCACTGGCATGGCCCAGGGTATATGAGAGCCACCCAGAAAACAGAAGGCCATGGGCATCTTTTGACCCACACCCACAGCCAAGGATGAGCTCGTAATAGACAATGACAAATCATACAAAAACTAAACTTCCCTGAGTGGGAGCCAGTGAAGGCTTCCTCAAGTGCTCAGCACCTGACAGCCTGTGGGGAGCAGAGCAAACTGAAAGCAGCCACAGCCAACAGCAGACCCACATTTCCAGCACAGAACCCAGTGCTCCTACCCTGTCCCAGCCTGCTTCTCCCATGCTTACTTCTCACATGTGTGGTGTTCTGGTCCCACCTGACAGGCAGGCTCGAAATCTGAGCCATCTTCAAATTCTTCCTTGCTCAATCATTCTCCTTACAAATAGTTCTCAATCATCTCCTTTCCTCTGCCTCTCCTCTGCTCTGGGAATTCACTGGTCTCCCAGGCTTCCTGGCTCCAAGGTCATCTTTATGTCACCTCCACGCTGCTTCTCAGTTACCCTCATACATGGAAAGTCCCGTGAGTTTGCTTCCCTGAGCCAAACTCCTGTTTATTAAAATTCAAATGCCTTGCCCAGTTTGCACCTAAACTACCTTTCCAGTTTTATTTCCTATTGCAGCATCACCCTCACCCCAAGCCCCTGTTCTGAGGACAACCGCTCGTTCATCCTTCCTATGCCTTCCTCCATGCTTCCCTCTAAACAGCCGTCCGCACCACATCTGCCAACTAGAGACCTGCCCTGGCTGCTTCTTGTGGAAGAACACAGGTGTTAGGGCTAGACCTACCTGGTCTCCGCTTCCAGATGTCACTTTATAGCTTTCTGCCTCAAGCAACAAGAGGTCACAACCCCCAGCCTCAGTTTCTAGTTCTATAAAATGGGAATAATATCTATTTTGTGGAGTTGTGAAAAATTCAAGATAATCTATGTAAAACACTGAGCACAGACCTGATTCAAGTAAGGGCTTGATAAATAGCTGCTGAATGGAGCCTCTAGCCTCACACTTTTATGGAAAGTATGTCCTTGCTGTCTCCCTGGCCAGAGTCCCAAGAGGCTTAAGGTCTAATTCATCCCTATTGTCTAACACAGGAAGTCTTGAAACATGTCAAGACTGGGACATGACTGGGAGTGGGAAGAATGAGGCACACCGCTCCTGGTGTGAGCAGGGGAGGCTTTGGGTAGAGGTGCCTGGCAGATCTCATGTGACAGAAGATTGTCGAGGCCAATTTATATTGTGTTACTCCAGAGAGGGTAGAACCACCTGCAGGAGCTGTAAGGGGGCTGGTTTTAATTCAGAATAGAAAGGATGTCCAAAATTTAAAACACTTTAACATGAGAACAGGTGCCAAATGTAAGCTGCTTGCCATTAAGAGAAACATTACAGCTGGGTAGGGTGGCAGATGCTTGTATCTCATCTACTCAGGAAGCTGAGGGAAGAGGATTACTGGAGCTCTGGAGTTTGGGGCCAGCCTGGGCAACATAGGAAAACCCTTTCTCAAACAAAACAAAACTCAAATTACAGTAAGAATTCCAGGGTTGGATGAAAGACAAAACCAGATCAATGATTCTTAACTTTTGGAAGTCACAGATATCTTTGAAAATCTGATAAAATTCCTGAATCTGTTTCCCTAGAAAAGTGGCCTGAAGCATAACATCTTGCAAATAACTGCAGGAGTTTCATGGATGACGGGTCAAAATCCCCCAAAGCCCTTCCGGGATGCTGCGTTACATTCTCTTTTTTGCTATCAGTCATGAGAGAGAAGGCATCAGCTGCTGTCATCTGCAGCAGAATTCATAGCTCCCATCATAGCTAAGAGCTCCATGCCCCTGCCACAAATTAAACACTACATATTCTTTGATTAAATGAATGAATAAATGAAATGATTGATCTGATCTCTAAGGAAAAATATGTACTATAAGAAGGAGAAAAGAGAAGGAAAAAAGGAAAGAAAGAAAATCAAGAGTTTTTTAAAAAGAACGACACGGGATGCCAAAGGGTAGAGAAGGACCGATCAGGCTGGGGAAGAAGGTGCCTCTCTGGACAGCCTCAACTCCCAGCCTCTTGCCCAGGCCAAGGCCCATCTTCTAACGGGCAGGTTCCTCGGGACCAGGGTCCCTGCTTTGTGCCCTCAGGGTGATAATGGAACATCCCCTGGGCCACCAGGGAGAACCAGTCACAGTGATCCATCATGACCACATCCAGATGATACCCTGATTTGATTTTAAAACCTTGTTATCTCTGTGGATTCAGGTCTCAAGTTCCGTGTGGCCACTCACTCTCCATGATTATGATGCTCCATTCCCACTGGTGATGGCACTGAAATTGTGTCGTGGTTGGTTTATTTCACAGAGTATCATTTTTCAAAAAACAGTTGATGGCAACATAACATCATCACCCCTGAGGACAAGTCCTAGAAGGAAATATCCTGTCCGAGAATAGAAAGATGTCATTTGGTAAACTGCACTTAAACACCTCAAGGATCAGCTGGTTCTGCTGGTTCATAGGAGCAAAGGTAAGCTGTTCTATCCTGGTCAAGATTTCTTGCTGTCCCCACTCTCAACCCACTGGCCCTCACCTGGAGTGGTGGCTGCGGGCTTTCAGGAGGCTCCGCAGGCTCTGCAGGGCCTCTGGCAGCCCCTCTCCCGTGAGGGCGCTGCAGGCCCGGAGCTCCCACCTGCGGTCCTGGAACCAGTGCAGGCCCAGCTTATGCCTGAGTTCAAGCAGCGGAAGAGCGTTGGGTGCCTCCTGTTTGTTGGCCAGCACCAAAAAGGGGACGCCAGCCATGTGAGGGTCGCTCAGCACTTCCATGAGCTCAGCCACCGCCTCAGGCAGGCGAGCTTCATCTGTGCTGTCCAGCACATACACGAGGATGTCTGCCCCTTCCAGGTAGTCCTTCCAGCTGGCCCTGAGCTGGGTCTGCCCCCCAACATCCCAGAAAGTCAGCAACACGTGGCCAGGAGCTTCCAGAGGCTCCACGTTGAAACCAATAGTGGGCAGGGTCTCCACCAGCAGATGGCCCTTCAGTTTGTACAGGAGCGTGGTCTTGCCGGCAGAGTCCAGGCCCAGCATTACCACCTGCGCCTCTGCCTTGCCACCTCTGGAATTCACAGAACCCATGGTGGCCACTGCTGAGTCCTAAAGGAGAAAGGCAGGGGCACACATCAGCTGTTTTCTTCTGAAAGAACACAAATCTGTGCCGGCACATGGAAGAAGGTCTACTCCAAAATAGGAGAAGTCTTCACAGGCCTGGGCTTTGTCAAAACCTGGAAGGAAGAGTGAGCCGCCATCAGCTGGCCTATCTCTGGGGCCTTCTTCAGAGAAGAGTGTGGGGCCTCCTGGGGGGACGCGGATGTGGGTTCACGCGTCTTAGTAGCTAAGCAAAGAGGCAAATGAATTTCCAGGCACAGACCCAGCTCTAAGGAACTGCAGGCTGCTGCCTTGCATTCTTGCTAGGCTGTGACTTCTGACCTATCTTCCTCTCATAAGCCTAAACGCTGAAAGGAGGCTAAGTTCCATGCAGAGTGAAGGGGACGGTCCAGCTCATGGTAACTTCTGCTGCCTTTGGAGCTGCCAGCAGGACCAGCACTGCGTCCCGTAAATGCAGCCATGCGTCACCTAGTGAGGAGGGCACATTCTGAGGAATGCCTTGCGAGCAATCTCGCCCTTCACCAGCATCACAGAGTGTGCCACATTTTGTCAGTATCTGTGTGTCTAAACACATCTAAACATAGAAAAGGCTATGAATTGTGCCATGACATTAAGAGGAGGACAAAGTCACCAAGCAGTAGGAATTTTCGGCTTCACTGTCATCTTATGTCCACTGCTGTGTGTGACATTGTTGACAAAATGCTGTCCCGCAACTCATGACTGCAGTAGCTGTTTATAAAAATACTTCTGACGTGGACAAACTTATGAGCCAGAGCAAAATCATTTCTTGCACTATCTTACCAAGGTAATGACCTCAGAACACCCTGTGTGTTTTTAAAGAACCCCAAAGTTTAAGAAACAATACCTGTTCCCAGCATAGGAGATGTCTGGGTGGGACAGAAGGGACATTGCACCCCCAAGGGTGTATCCCAGCTGCCCCTGGAGAAAAATAAGACAGCCTACGTCCATTCCTCCTCCCAAGGGTGGAAGAGTGAAAATGAGAATTACCTCTGTGTCATTATGACCCTGTGGCCGCAGCTGCTCCTATGAGGGCCTCTTTTCTCATATAGCTGCTCGCCAGGCACAGCCCGGGAGTGAGAGATGAAGGAAGTGTAGAGGCTGTAGCTGCGTCTCCTTTCTCTGCTTCCTTCCCACGTGGCTGGAGGCGTGGGTTTCACAGCCCCCTTCTGGGGGGCCAAGGACACCTGCCATAGCTCATTGGCTCTGGGCAGAGCAGCGCCCTGCGCCCACTCTGCTTCTTAGCAACTCAGCCTTGTGTGGAGGAAGGAGCACCAGCTCGGGAGCTGTGCCCGGGCCCAGCTGCCTCCTGCTGTTCCTCTCACCACCTTATGCTCCTCCTCCAAGCATAGGCCTTGAGGATCTTCCTGGTGCACAGAGAGTTTTCATTTGCTTGGAACCACACTTGAGAAAAAAAACTAAAACTCTGATTCAAGTACAACAAAATCGATGCATGTAACCCTGTAATATTTTGTACTCCTGTAATAGTCTGAAATTTTAAAAAATGACTAAGTGTGATTAAAACTCTCTTTAAAAGGTCAACCGTAAACATTTAAAAGTTACGGTAATGCGGTGGAACTATAGGCAATTAAAGTTATTGCTTTTTTTTTTTTTCCTTTTTCTTTCCTTTTTTCATATACGTTTTAGGGACAGAGTCTCACTATCAGCCAGACTAGACTGCAGTGATGTCATCAGAGCTCCCAGCAGCCTTACATTCCTGGGCTCAAGGAATTCCCCTGCCTCAGCCTCCCAAGTAGCTGCAACTAAAGGCAACTGCCACCATGCCTAGTTAATAGTTTTATGTTTTGTAGTGCCGGGGGTCTCACTGCATTGCTCAGGCTGGTCTTGAACCCCCGGCCTTAAGCGATCCTTCTGCCTTGGCCTCCCAAAGTGCTAGAATTACAGGAGTAAGCAAACACACCTGCCCAATTTTTTTTGAATGGTGTTATTATGGTTTTTTCCACCTCGAGAAAATATGATTTTTTAAAAATTGGCTATCAGAAACTATCGATTTTTTAGCTTATCAAATTTGGATCTGGAGTCACAGTGGTTTAGCTCTTACATCTAGTAAACTGTGCCACTTTCTGCTTCATTACATTACATTGTCAGGAACCAGGTGAGGTGTTATGACTTCCATTTTACAGGTAAAGGAAAAGATGCAAATAATTGGCTCATGATCTTGCCGAGATCTATCTGTCATTCATCTCTTTTTTACCATGACGTACTACTCACTGACAAAAATGCTTTGTAGGGTGGCGCCTGTGGCTCAGTGGGTAGGGTGCTGGCCCCATATACTGAGGGTGGGGCAAATCTGGCCCCAGCCAAACTGCAACAAAAAATAGCCGGGTGTGTGGCTCGGCGCCTGTGGCTCAAGTGGCTAAGGCACCAGCCACATACACCTAAGGTGGCGGGTTCGAATCCCCAGCCCAGG